ATGAATGGGCCTGTTTTTCTGAAAGTGCTGAGCTCCCACCATCTGCAAATCAGGCCTTGGTAAGGCGTCTCAGGCAATACTCCCCAAAAAAGAGGCATCCAAAATCACTAATTGCTTTTGAAAATGTTGGTGTGGGTTCATTATTTCCACCCCTGAAATGCAGCTGCATTGGGGTGAAATGCAACCAGCTTTTGAATAGCGCACAGTAACATCACAAAACAATTTAACACAGGAAATGGAAAAGAATACAATGTCTTATTGAAAGTGCCGGGAAAATTTGGAGAGGTAGAATGAAATTATTTGAGTTGAAATTTGGCCATGGCGCTGGGCTTAACATCTGTAGATTTATGAAAAATGCCAAGGATTCTTGAATGACCACATATTGTCAGATCCTTGGTTTTATATTTTATCCACATGATGGAGGATTATTCTTCTGCAGAAAGACTGTAATCCCCATTGAGAAGCTTTTCATCGTATTCCATGATGGATCGTCCCTGAACAATGTATCCAAAAAAGTCACAAAATATCAGGACATATATGCAAAATGTCACATAAGGCCAAATTTCATGTCTAAAAACTCCTATGCTGGGCTTTCTGTCAAGTCATGCTGACTCATGCCTTATGCTGGATACCAAAATAAAGTAGCAAAGGTTATAGCATTTTGCAGCATATAGCAGGGTTGTCAGTGAAGTGTAGAGGATGCATCCTCCAGAGTCCAATCCTGCAAGGTACAGATTGATTTCAAGGTTTGCTGTGCCCTCAGGTTTGCTATGTCACAGTTCAAACTAAGGGCCTGCTTCTGCTCCCAGTGTTTTGCCATTTGTATTAGTGTATGCACATCATGCCTCAGGTGGCACGTGAACAGGATTCGTCACCGAATTTGGTCCGCTGATTGGATCATTAGCTTCCCCATCCCGGGCCAGGTATTGACAGGGAGTGCGATGTGAACACTGATCCATGCCATTGAATGATATGGGCAGGATAGGGATCTTTGTGGATATGTTTGAGCAGCAACAGGATATTTGCAGACTGGTTTAGCAAACTGGTTATGACATCTGCATAACACCAGCGTATTGAAGTAAGTGGGACTTTGTGCATCAAAAAGCAAAATCTGGCCCTTAAAATTCTTAGCAGCATTCACTTTAGAAATGAGCACATCTGAGAATGATTTTGATTTTGCAAAAAAGAGGCTTAGATCTAAAGGACATGTTATCCAAACCCCAAATGTTTGAGTGGAGGAACTATTTGGATAAGTGGTTCCCAATCTCAGGGCATGTCTACACTTAAAATTAAGTTGACCTAACTCACGTCAGCGTCACTTGTGCGTGTCTACACTTTGCTTCTTGTATTAGCAGTGCACGTCCTGTTAGTGTGGAGCATTGTGGGATGTCTTCTGAAAGCCAGCAACAGTCAATGTAAACAACTCCATGTCTACACTGACACTGCGTCGATCTAACTACATTGACATAACTCCACCTCCATAGTAGAGTCAAAGTCAGTGTAGTGGGTGAGTTACATCAGTGGGAGCAAAATTTTAGTGTAGACACATAGTTAGGTCGACATAAGCTGCCTTGCATCAACCTAACTCTGTAGTGTAGACCAGGGCTCACTTATTACTCTAGTTCTGGTCTGTTCATTTTGGGTATTTGCTGCTATCTCCTAGTGCCTTTTAAAAACATGCATTCAGATGACATGAACTGATTTGGTTAGAAATGGGTTTTTTTTTCCCATTAAAGCTAATATAATTAGGACCCAATTCTGCACAGTACTGAGTTCTTCCTGGGAAGTGTTGTCCACCATTAACTCCCATCTGAGACTCAGCACCCTTTGGGATTGTACCCAGAGTCTGACAGCTGACTTAATACAACAGCCCTGAGTCCACTTGACTTACCGTATATTTCTCTGTGTGTAGTTGTCTTCGTAGTTGAAAGTACATAAATCTGAGTAAGTAAAATATCACTACAGGATATTTTCTTTGACTTATTGAATTAAAGTCCGTGAAGCTCTTTCTACCTATGCAGCAAGCACTGAAGATGTCATGGAGGCATAGTGATATTTACTCAGTAGTCTAGAGTTCAATCCTAGGCTTCCTAGAAATGAGGTTCCTAAATAAATGTTTCATCAACTTCAGGTTTGTGCCATGGGGATAGATTACTTCTTTCTAGACTACTGAATTTTTTTCCTAATATAATCAGTAGTCAAAGCAGTATTTATATATGGAGTTTAGAATGGAATAGACTATGGGAAATATTCTAAAAATATAAATGACCTGCCCAGCTGTTCTACTTAATTAAAACATCACTAACTATTCTTCCCTGCTGCACTTGATTTCTAATAATTTGTCTTCAAAATTGACTTTGCAAATGAAATTGCCGTGAGTGAGTGACTGTAGAGGGTGAATGCTTGTTCAGAAAGAAAAAGGTGTTGTTAATTTTTAATTTTGAAAGCCAATATGGAATGAGTAGACTCCTCTGCAAAAACTGGTGATCAAGATAAGTTCCCACCATCAGTAATGAAAAAGAAATGACATGTTTATCTTTACAGTCCTCTTGTTCCTGTGGTACCATAATGATACCCAGACAAAAACTGACAGTCACATTGCCTCCTTCATAGGTAGAGCAAACTGAGATCTGATGGATATTGGCCTGAGACACACTGAAGGGTGAATGCAGCTACATCCTCCTTGTATTCCATCGAAACATCCCCATTGGTGCTCCAAGGGATATAAGATCTGCAAGTGGGTAGGGAACAGGCTGGGGCAGAGTTAAGTAGACGAGTATGATTCTAGCATCTTTTCTCCTAGAAACTTTTAGGATTTTTATGGGTTGGTGAATACTGATCCTTTTAGCATCAACTTACCCACTTTTCCCAACCACAGTTTGGAAATGCCATTAAGGAACTAATGGGGAAACCAGCCTGCAAGGATCCCCTGACAGCATAACTCATGCAGCATCTATGGTTCTGCAGATCTGCTGTGATCCAGCCAGTTCTAGTCAGGGGAGAACCCCTGTTCCTAATGAAAGCATTCCCAGGAAGCTAAGCCTAAGCTCACAGAATGTCTTTGTCCTTGACAGGGAGTAGCTCACTGAGTCAGGGGCCAAGTTATGCACATCTCTCTAGGGTTGGACAGTTTCTGAACTCTCATTGCCTGTTAAATTAGCTTTTCCCTACCCTCTCAATCCTAGAGGTGGCCGTTTTGGTCAGACTTGAACACTGTGTCAAGGTGACATTTCATTGGTGTAGCTTGCTCTGCTATTGCCTGTGCTGTGACTCTTCTATGGTAGGGGACTTCACTCCCAAGCTGGGTCAACAAACCAACACCTTTCACAAGCAACATATACAGTGTGCAAAATGGATGGCAGTGTGGGAAGTCCCATTTACCTTGAGTAGTTTGGTCCTTTATTGGAAGATCTCCATAGTTGGCCTCACATCTCATTAGTCAAGGACTTCTGCCGTTACTTGCAAAGACATAATAGTATAAATATAGGGATGTGATAAATAAAATATAAGCTTGTACAGTAATAAGAGCTACATTATAGTTAATACTGCATTGCCTTCCTCTATAAACCTTGTTTTTACATACCCATTACTTTCTCAAAACTTCTTCTTTGGGGCTTAACCTTTCCTTCCTTGGATTTAGCCTCAGTGTGGAGGCAGTGATTGTTACTCTCTTTAAAAGGAGAGTAAAGAAAGTCCATCAGACCATTTCTGAGTGATGGAGGAGTGGGGAAAAAATCATCTTCCCTCTGCCCAGAATAAAAAAAAATTAAACTTTCACCTTTTGCCAAGAATGTAGAAATGGCGGAACAAAATTTTTTTTCCAACTTGGCAAGTGCAGACGGACTTTTCCTTAAGCTTGAGGGGGGAAATGAATAAAAAAATTACATTCACAAAAAAGCTATAGTGTCTCGCTTGAAAATTAGGAGCAGGCTTCCTCCAGAAACAGAGTGGGGAGCAGTTAGAAAGCAGAAAAAATGGCAAACCCATACATATTAGTGCTACTCATAATAGATTCATTCATTGCAATCATAAGAGCAATGAGTTTAACTTGAGAAGGCAAGCAGGGGGACTTGTTCTCGAGTAAGTTAGTGGGAGGAGTATTACAATATTCTGTGAATTGGAGAAGATATATTGTGGGTTACTTCGTGGGGGATGTCTGACTCTATTGCACAGAACCATGTTTTGTATTCTAAAAAACTGTTATTAAAATTTAGAATGAGTTCATGGCAAGAAAGATAAAATGGTTTAAATCTGTGAATTCAAGCACTAAAGATAATGCAGAAGCAGGAATATTCATTCTGACAGATGGTGTCTAATGTAGCCTTTTTTCTAATAAATATTGGCTTCTGCTGGGCGTTAATCTCTTGGTAGAAATTTATGGAAAAATTAGATGTTTCTCAGTAAAAATTCATAAGGGGAGCAAGCAATAGATGCTTTTATCTGGCCAACAAAAAGGAATTGTGACAACCTTTAGAGATGGCAAAGCCTCATTTGCAGTAGAATTGAAAGAACATGACAGCTTTCTTTAAGAAACAGTTCCTATGGCATTAACAATAGCCTTAAACTAACCCAAATGTGGGTTATAAATTATTCCCAGTGTCCTATTCTAATAAAATTTCTCGGTGAGTTTTTTTTTCCTGTTTGACTGATGTTCCCTCTCTGAAGTTCTATAAAGTGACAGCCCTTACCTTAACTACTCACCTATTTCTAATCGAGAAACTGCAGAGATGGGTGTGTGGGTTAGAGTTTAAATCACAAATCACATCGACCTCTAAGGAGATACTTGAATATAGTAATAAGAAAATCCTTTCATTGTGATTTATATTTCCTTATATGTTGTATTGCTTTCCCCTACCCTTTGTCGGTCTTTTACTTCTAAGCTGTTAGGCCAGGACTATGCTATGAGTAACAAAAAACGATTAAGTTCTAGTAGAAGATCCAGAAAAAAGTTAACTTGCATGATCTTTGCAATTTAATTTGTTCCTTTGTTGTTTTGACAGCTTGCACAGACAAGGAGCTGAGAAGTCTTGCTTCCCGACTAAAAGATTGGTTCGGTGCTCTTCATGAGGATGCAAATCGTGTCATTAAACCAACAAGTTCGGACACAGCACAAGGCAGTAAGAAAACTCTTTATAAAAATGAAGTTCTAGACAAGCTCACACGCATTTAAAGGGCAGAACAGTCAATACAATCCCTAGTACATCACTATAGTGTCCCTGGGCAAGTATACTAATATCTGCGCCATATAACAGACCTGATCCTAAGAGATACTGAGAATATACAGCTCCCATTGATTTCTATGGGAGTTACAAGTGCCCTCTCAACCCGAAACTGTCCTAAAAGAAGACAGTAAGACACGTACCAAACAAACACACACACACAATTCGGACTAGACAATCGGTCTGCTGTTATGGCCACAAACGGTTCGGATACTAATAGAGAGAATCACAAACCTGCCAGCACATTATATGGCTGTGGGCAAAATGGCAAACAAAATATGTGACATATACGCATTAAACGTACAACACAGAGAAAATTACACTGGGGCTTCATTTTCTTATTTCCAGTTAGCCTTATGGAACAGGAATGATAATGGGAAGAAAATGTCCAAAGGATAGCCACTGGCCTGGACAGATTAGTTGATGCAGAAAGGTTAGAAAAGCTGGAATTGTATGTGCTAAAAAAGAGGCTGCATCCCAGGTATCTAATAACACTTCTCAGCATCTACTGCTTTTGATACCCCTATTTTTTAAAAAAAGACAGCACCCTATAGGTATAACTCAAACGATTAATTTTGATGTTATTTACCCAGTAGGGAGGAAAAGACTCACACAGGGGTTACAAAGAAAGACTAAGTTGAAGTGAGCTTATGTTCTATTAAGGCATGTCATTTTGTGGGTAAACCTCTAAAATACATGCAAGAAAGGTACATAGTTCTAACTCTCTAAGAGCTCGCCTACATGGCAAGTCACTGCATTGCAAACCAGGGTGTTTATGTACAGCACACCAGTTTGCAGCATAACAACATCCTGGACGCTGCTACAACACACTGGAAGTCCCGGAGCTCATATTAGAGGAGGGGCATGGAATGGATCAGAGCTGAATCAGTGCCCCAGGGGTAGTAGTTCGCTGCTGGCCTATACCAGTTCCATTGCTTCCCTTTTGCTGCTCCTGAGGTACACAGCTTTGTTCTGCCTCTTACTATGGAGACACAATATAGCCCACAATGTACTGCTCAAAATTTTGTAAAACCTTGATATAAAAATCATGCAATAAAGGCCAAACACAAAGACAAGATCTCATGACAACTGTCTTTTTCGTACATCTTTTGTTTAAGAAAGTTCCAACTTATTTCCAGTTACATATAAGAAGTCATTCATTTTAAACAGTCGATAGTTTTAAAATATTTTTGAGACACTGACTTCTTCAACAGCACTCTGAAATGATGCATTTATTATGTAAATGTAGCAAAATAATTGTGAAGCGACGCAACTGGATACCAATCTAAGAATGGCTTCAGGAGATGAATTCGCTTCAGGCCTGAGGGTATTTTTTCCTTAGAAAGTTCTAAGCACCCTTTGGGTCCAGAACCAGATTGCTAATGCTAAATCTTCCTTTATCGAGATGCGAAAAGACATTCTTTATACAGATGACCTTTGGTTTCCTTGTGAAGATCAGCCAGTGGGCAAAGACCAACTGATTGTATACAAATCCAAAAAGTCTAAATACTGAGATAAGTGTATTAAATGAGGATATTGATATAATAGGCATCGGGTGGAGTGATGATGATGATCAATGGGATATGGTAATAACAGAATACAGATATAGGATACATACATATAGGAATGACAGAGTAGGTTGCACTGGTGGGGGAGGGGCACTGTAAGTGAATGAAAGCATAGAGTCAAATACAGTAAAAATCTTAAATGAATCAACCAGTTCCATAGAATCTCTATGAACAGAAATTCCATGCTTGAATAATAAGAGTATAGCAGTAGGGATATACTACTGACCACCTGACCAGGATAGTGACAGTGATTATGAAATGCTCAGGGAGATTAGAGAGGCTACAAAAACAGAAAACCTAATAATAATGGAGGCTATCAACTTGGGAACACGTCACCTCAGGACAGGATGCAGAGATAAAATTTCTAGGCACCATTAATGACTGCTTCTTAGAGCAGCTAGTCCTGGAACCCACAAGGGGAGAGGCAGACTGTGAAGAGTTACAGCAACAAGATACAAAGGGATCTCACAAAACTGGGTGACTGGGCAACAAAATGGCAGATGAAATTCAATGTAGATAAGTGCAAAGTAATGCAAAGTAAACAACAATCCCAATTATACATACAAAATGATGGGGTCTAAATTACTACTCAAGAAAGAGATCTGGCAGTCATTGTGGATAGTTCTCTGAAAAGATCCGCTCAATCTGTAGTGGCAGTCAAAAAAGCTAACAGTGTTAGGAACTGTTAGGAAAGGGATCGATAATAAGACAGAAAATATCATAATGTCACTATATAAATCCATGGTACGCCCACACTTTAAATACTCCATGCACTTCTGGTCACCCCATCTCAAAAAAGATATATTAGAATTGGGAAAAGTACAAAAAAGAGCAACAAAAATGATTAGGGATATGGAATGGCTTCCATATGAGGAGAGATTAAAGAGACTGGGACTGTTCAGCTTGGAAAACAGATGATTAAAGGAGGATATGACAGAGGTCTATAAAATCATGAATGATGTGGAGAAAGCGAATAAGGAAGTGTCATTTACTCCAAGGGTCACCCAATGAAATGAATAGGCAACAGGGTTAAAACAAACATAAGGAAGTACTTCTTCACACAGAGCACAGTCAGCCTGTGGAACTCGTTGCCAGGGGATGTTGTGAAGGCCAAAAGTATAACCGGGTTCAAAAAAGCCCTTTCCTTTTACTGCTCTCTTTGTATTCCCCTCCTCGGCAGGCTGATCACTTCATTAAATTGAGCTGGTTTGGTTATGCCTGTGACGCCTTAAGAGGCATGTGCATCCTCAAAGTAATCCATTTTGGGGGTGCCCCCGTAGCAATAAAAAGGAGCTGATGGTGGAAAGAGATGACTAAGGGTACGTCTATACTTACCTCCGGGTCCGGCGGTAAGCAATCGATCTTCTGGGATCGATCCCGGAAGTGCTCGCCGTCGACGCCGGTACTCCTGCTCAGCGAGAGGAGTACGCGGAGTCGACGGGGGAGCCTGCCTGCGGTAAGTTCGTGTGGACCCGCGGTAAGTTCGAACTAAGATAGTTCGACTTCAGCTACGTGAATAACGTAGCTGAAGTTGCATATCTTAGTTCGAAGTGGGGGGTTAGTGTGGACCAGCCCCTAAGATGTCTTGGACACCTCCATGGTCTAGAGAAGGTGTTCCAGTGGAGATTTCTCTGTGCTACATTCCATTTTCAAGATGCTACTGAGTGTGTAAATAAGCTCTTTGGCTGTATTAAGTTCACCTCCAGGTGAAAAAAAATCACTCCTATTTTTTCCTCTCTTAAAAGGAAAAAAAAGAGGGAAATCTGCACTGTTTCACAAATTGGACCTTCAGCCAATGTAATATCTGTCCTTCTGATTTAAATTAAGCACCTTGGTTCAGGCACTATGTCTTCCTCTCTCTAACTGACAGCATCTCAGGACATAATACTAATATGAATAACATGCACTGAAATAAGGACATAATAAAACAAATTAGCTAGGGTCAGATTCCAATTGCTCTTCAGTCTGTTGCTAGGTCATAATGTTGTTGTGTTTCTAAAATCTACTCAGCTGGTCTGGGACGTTTATCTTTTACATTTGGTGGAGCTGTGTGAAATGTAAAAAATGCCCCAGAGAAATATTTCTGGGTGGTGTTTTGTATTTTTAGTGATGATGGAAATGAGGCTAATTATTTTCCTGTTAATTTAATTATTGTATAATTTAATGAAGTCACTAAAACTCAACTCATGTAAGTCACTTCTTGGAGAGTCAAAAAAAGCAATGTTATGTGCCAGAAGGTGTATTTATTTTTAATTAGGAATTTCACATAAAGGTTTTTTGTTGATGTCGTTTTTGCATCCAGAGGAGATGGATGGTTTGGGGTAATAATGGGACATGGAATCTTGCACATGTAGGTCACCAGTTTGAATCCCTTCCAGAGGCATAGTGAATGGAAGTTGTTAGGACTTCGAGCATTTGTCAGATGGAATGTAAAATGTAATGGTCTCAGTCCAGCTCCTAGTGAACAGGTGTCCAAATCAGAAAAACCTCTGCCACCATTGACACTAATTGGCATCCTTGTTAGCAATCTCTGCAGAGAAGCCAATAACTGAATGAGCATGAAGCCTGCACTATACTCTCACCCTTAGTGGTGGTCACTGCAAGGCGGGGTTGAGGCAGATGGGTGGGATGAAGAGGTACACTCGCCTTGCTGCTGCCTGTGCTGTATTTTTTGTTAAACCAGCACTATATTCACTTAAGAAATGCAGTAAACGGTGTTTATTTTATGCAGTACAGTGTCACAGTTATCATAAGGCTTTAGGCCCCAGAAATGCAATTACTTCATTTATCGTTGCTCAGGCCGATTGTCTACAGCAGTCCTGCTATGGGAGAAGTGAACTCTGGTTTGGTGCACATGCTAGCAGTGACTTCCAATTAAAGTAGTGGAGTTATGTGAACGATTTCCAATACAGTGCCCTGAGAGTTTACCCCTCTGAGCTTTGCACTGTGAATTCAGCTTTATTTACTGAGAGTCCGCTTGGTTTTAAATCCTGAACATGAGAGGACGTGGGCTTGAGTTTCAGCATTTTGGGTTTTGACTGTTGATATTGACCTGGAGAAAGGTAATTTATTGGAAGAAACTTATCAAGAAGCAATTTGAAGTGCAGGTAGCAACTGATGTTGTGTCTGACTTTCATCTGCATGCTGAAAGGCCATCCTAATAGTAACCTTTTCACTAGTAATATCCATCCATCACTGTAATAGCTGAACACTTCCATACTGCACTGTCTGCTTAATAGAGAGGCTTCATAATAAACCTTAACCTGAAAAGCCTGATCGTGTCATGAAAGTTCCCTGGTTTATTTAAAACAGCAACAATTGAAAAGTATTAAACTAATATAATTAACTATCTTAATAAGTGACCTTCCATAACGGCCTCTTTGATGCAGCCCCTGACCACGGGTCACAAAGCAGCTTCTTATCCATATGAGTCTTGTAAAGTTTAGTCCTGCAACGGTTCCATTGTTGTGTCCCTGAATGCATGTTGTACACACACACAAGGCCACACATCAGGGAAGGGAGCAAAGTCATAGGAACAGCACACAAATCACAGAGCATGTGAAGCGGTAAGGCAAGTCCGTGCCAGCCTCTCCTCCCACCATGGCGCTGCCTCCATCCCCGCAAGAGTGCACAAGCTGAGCCACACACAACTAGGAGGTGGCCTGCCAGAGAGAGCAATGGCTGGGAAACACACAGTCCGCACAAGAGACCATGTAATCACCTATCTGAGCAGCAGCAAGTCCCCCAGCGTGGCACTTGAACCCCACCATAGAGTGCATCCACAGAGGGAGGGGGCAGCCAAATGGAAGCCAACCAGTTGTGTGGCCTCCCACGATGGCATTGCTGAGGGGTGAGGGAGGTTCAGAGGGACCATGGAACAACACCACCGCCTCATGAATTTCTGACCTCCACAGGCTCAACCCCCTGCCTTTTGTGCTGCCCCTGACCTGGCATCCTGAGGGTGGTTCTGGCAGAATGGCAGGTCTCCGTAGGTTAGCTCTCCCCTCCCTATAGGGGTCTGGGCCTCTTACAGAAGTTCTCTCAGCTGATGTTTGCACACTGAGCAAATCCTGCTTGCCTTCCTCAGATGAGTAGAATGACTGAAGCCAATGGCACTACTTGCCTAAGATGAGCTGGATAGATCTGTGTATATTACATATAGTTTTTCCTTTTTGATGTACTCAAACTCAAATCAGATAACACAGGAGCAGCTATCAGGAAATGGGGTAATGAAAAGTTCAGCATGATCTCTCTACCCTGCCTGAGTTGTCTTTAGCCACAAGGAAATGGTGTTATCCTCTTACTTTGTTAGAGAAACGTGTGTTATGAATGACATAAACTTCCCTCTTACTTAACCCCTCTGCCTGTTCCTCCGTGTCACTGACAACCTTCAGCTAGAGCTGCAGTTCAAGGATGCAGTTTCCAGAGTGAAACTTTACTCTTCCTTGAATTTAACGCTTAAAATAGCAGACAGTGCAGCACTATTCTAGGCTTTCAGTTAGACTCTAAGTGGTAGTTTTCAGAAGCAGCATTTGGAGATGAAACTTGATACTCAGAGTAGATGAGCCTAAAACTAAATCTCCTCTAAATCTCCTCAGTACGGTGAAAAGAATGTCGGCCTAACACAAGAGAGGCAGGTTGTGTAGCGGATTGAGCATGGGCCCTGATTCACGGTGTGCGCTTGGCAGGTCACATTTACACACTGTGTGTGTGTGTGTGTGTGTGTGTGTGTGCGCGCAAGGTGCCCGAAGCAGTCCCACTCATTAGGGTTACATGAGTGCAAAACCCTGACTAGCATATGCATGTTTTGTGAGCCTTTGTAAAACTGGGGTTCTTAATGGCAGTTTCCGCAGCTATAAATTGTGAATGATACTTTCCTGCAAGAAGGCAGGTGTTGTGGGGTTAGTTAGCATTTGGGTACCACACGTTGGAGATGTAAGTACAGTAACTACTACTGAGGACTTAAAAATCCCAGCTTCTCTTTTGGGTGACCCTCCTTCAACAAGTCCAGAACTCTGTGTTCAGGGGCATCATTTGCTATGGGGGAAGAGGCACAATTGTCCCCCACACACACATGTTGATTTATAGACTCATAGACTCATAGACTTTAAGGTCAGAAGGGACCAATATGGTCATCTAGTCTGACCCCCCGCATGATGCAGGCCACAAAAACTGACCCCCCCACTTTCCCTTAACTCTGCTGTTGAAGTCCTGAGATCGTGATCTAAAGACTTCAAGTCGCAGAGAATCTTCCAGCTTGGGACCCCTGCCCTATGCTGCGGAGGAAGGCGAAAAACCTCCAGGGCCACTGCCAATCTACCCTGGAGGAAAATTCCTTCCCGACCCCAAATATGGCGATCAGCAGAACCCCGAGCATACAGGCAAGAATCTCTAGCCAGACCCTCATTTTACCAGCGATGGCCGTTATTGCCTAATTGATTAGAATCACGTAATCCCATCAAACCATTCCCTCCATAAACTTATCTAGCCTAATCTTGAAGCCAGAGAGGTCTTTCGCCCCCACCGTTTCCCTCGGGAGGCTGTTCCAAAATTTCACCCCTCTGACTGTTAGAAACCTTCGTCTAATTTCAAGCCTAAATTTCCCCACGGCCAGTTTATATCCATTCGTTCTTGTGTCCACATTAGCACTGAGCTGAAATAATTCCTCTCCCTCCCTGGTATTTATCCCTTTGATATATTTAAAGAGAGCAATCATATCCCCCCTCAGCCTTCTTTTGGTTAGGCTAAACAAACCAAGCTCCTCGAGTCTCTTTTCATAGGAAAGGTTTTCCATTCCTCGGATCATCCTAGTTGCCCTTCTCTGCACCCGTTCCAGTTTCAGTTCATCCCTTTTAAACATAGGAGACCAGAACTGCACACAGTACTCCAAGTGAGGTCTCACCAGCGCTTTGTATAACGGAAGCAGCACCTCCCTGTCCCTACTAGAAATACCTCGCCTTATGCATCCCAAGATCGCATTAGCTTTTTTCACAGCCACGTCGCATTGCCAACTCATAGTCATCCTGCGATCAACCAGGACTCCGAGGTCCTTCTCCTCCTCAGTCACTTCTAACCTATGCGTCCCTAGCTTGTAACTGAAATTCTTATTAGTCATCCCTAAATGCATCACCTTACACTTCTCACTATTAAATCTCATCCTATTACTATTACTCCAATTTACAAGGTCATCCAAGTCTCCCTGCAGAATATCCCGATCCTTCTCCGAGTTGGCAATGCCTCCCAACTTTGTGTCATCCGCAAACTTTATCAGCCCACTCCTACATTCGGTTCCGAGGTCAGTAATGAATAGATTAAATAAAATCGGACCCAGAACCGATCCTTTTCCCCAAACTTTTCATAGGTCTGTATGCTCCTTCTTTTGCCTTCCTGCCCCAACTTTGCAGGATATAATATAATCACATAATGTTCTGCATGCTGACAGAACTTTGCCTTCCCTCTCTCCAGAATTTTTCTGAAACGATACCCCTAACTGTGTTTATAGAGATTGCAGAAATGCACGTGTACACGTTGCAAATATGAACATGAATGCAATGGCGTTCCTCTGGTACTCCTGCCTGCTGCATTCTTTAGAGGATGTGGGATATTAAATGAACACGGATCCTGTTCCCTGAAGTGTTGGGAAAGCAGAATCCTCTTCAGCTGCAAAAGATCTAACCAGGCTGGAATGCAGAGGGCTTCTGTGACACATGAGTGCAAATGCCCAATTCATGTGCACTTGTGGTCTCAGCAAACCCCAGCACTGTCATTATTCAGCAGGGCTGGCTCTAGGTTTTTTGCCGCCCCAAGCACAAAAAAACCCAAAAAACCTCCGAGAGCACAACTACCGAAGGGGGGAGGGGGAAAAAAGCCTCCCGGAATGCCACCCCTGGAATTGTGCCACCCCAAGCACGTGCTTGGTTTGCTGGTGCCTAGAGCCGGTCCTGTTATTCAGAGTAGTGCAAGCCCAGAGGACATGACCTCCACCTCAAGAAGCTCACAATCTAGATCAGATAAAGAATTCAGAGTTAGATATACTACAAGATTGGGGGGGTCAGATCTGCCAGAAATCTAGGGTTAGCACTGAGGGGATTGGTGAAAGAAATGAGTTTTCAGAAGGGATGTGAGAACAAAGAAAAGGAGGTTGTTTGGTGCACTGAGTGTCAAGTGTGAACAGCAGCAAGGATGAAGATGCAAAGAAGGCAGTTGGGAGGAGTGCAGAATATGAATGTTGCGGGATGGGGGGGAATGTAGGCAGAGGGAATACAAGGAAATTAGAGCAGAGCTGCAGGCAGGGGCAAGGTTGTGCAGGGTCTCGAAGGAGAGGGCAAGAAGCTTGGAGCTAATGTAGAAGGTGAGAAGCAACCAATAAAGGATTCAGCAAGGTGACTAGAAACAGGGCTGGTAATCTCACAAGGATAGGCTCTCTCTCAAGATTTCTGTTGCTTTCTGCTTTCAGCTAATTTGAAAACACAGTGTTTCTGTTTCTGATCCGTCCTGGAACCAAGCCAATACACTTGCAAATGGGAGGGGGGAGAGAGAAAAAGTAAGTTAGGGTTGATATTTGAGTAAAGATGGGCTTGAGTTGCAGTAATCAGATGTGGACCCTAACCCCCTTTTTCTCCCCAAAATGTAAGTGGCATTCTTATCCAGGGTTTGGGTCAGAATCACATCTAGTTTTGAGCTTGATTTGATTCAACCAGTTCATTCATTCATAGTTGGAATCAGAGTATTGTTCTGGTTTCCTACTGGTTGGGCAGAGAAGGGTTAAACTGAAACAAAGTTCGCTCCATATTTCAGTTGAAAGAACATGCAAGAGAGAGAACATCATAATTTAGCAATGATGCATGTCAGGCCTGTGTAGTGTGACTCACCAACCGTTGTTTGCCCATGTTCTCATAGGGTTTGACACCAGCATACTACCAATCTGTAAGGATTCATTAGGCTGGATGTTCAACAAACTGGATATGAACTATGACCTCCTGCTGGATCACTCAGAGATCAATGCAATTTATCTCGATAAGTATGAGCCGTGCATTAAACCCCTCTTCAACTCATGTGACTCCTTCAAAGACGGAAAGCTTTCTAACAATGAATGGTGCTACTGCTTTCAGAAGCCAGGAGGTAAGTCATTCCATTATGTAACATAAAACTGATCTATAATTCATTACTATAGATGCTAAAATAATGGTATGGAAAAATGTAATTTGACAAAATATCTTTTCTATTATTGTTGTTGTTAATAATATTTATGCAAAACAGCCATCACCATATGTCCTGGGATGATGATAAGAGGCTTTAAAGTATGATTCAGTGGACAGAGCATTGGACAGGATGTTAGGAGACGTTAGGGAGCATTTACAAACTTGGGAATCATGTTTAGACACCTAAATAAGAATGGCCAGATAAGTGGTGAGCAACCATAAGTGGTGAAGTCAATGGGAATTGTACGTGCTCCTCACATGGGAAGTTCAGGCTATACGTGTAGGTGCCTAAATATGGAATTAGGTACCTAACTTAAGCCAGACAAATTTAAAACTTTTGGCTTAAATGTTACCATATTCAGATTAATATTTGAAAATAAATTATACATTTGAATACCTTATAGTTGTCTTGATACGTTCTGGTTTCTCTTTTTCACAAATATGTAGTGGTTTTTTTAGGATTTTCTAGGTTTCAACATCTTTCTTACATTTTGACTGCACTGCCATTTATCTTGAATTGGTAATTCATAGCCCTTTTCATTTAAAAATAAAAAGCCCTTTTCTTTATCCCTGGTGAGAAAGGGCATTGTGTAGCAATGGCAAATACTGTCAATTACACGTATTTCACTGTGAAACAAACAAAGAAGCAATCAAATTATTGGCACTTCAATTCAGGAATTAGTTCTATTGCTAATAGAAGGCTTATGAACTAGTGTTCTTATTAATGTGGAAATTAGTCTATTAGCAAATCATAAATTAGAAGCCTGGCATTATTTCAGTTTGATGAAGGAGAAGAAAAAAATGTTTAACAACCCAAATGGCCCCAAAACACTATTATTAAGTATAGTGTGTTTTGAATTTTTTAATTAGTAAAGCTAATGACATACATTTGTTTTGCAGTGTATTACCAGCATATGGGGTTATTTCATTCCCAGGTGTACAATAGACTACATTTCATGTAAATAGTGAAGCCAATCATTAGAGAGTCTGTCCCGTACCATCTGGAAACTGACTTTCATACATTATATTTTAGGTCTCCCTTGCCAGAATGAAATGAACAGGATTCAAAAGCTAAGTAGGGGGAAGAGTCTGTTGGGTAAGTTTGATTACATGCCACTCATTTCAATAACTAATTAAAGCTCTGTGATTATTGTAACTTTATGTGCAGTTATCGTTTTTCAATTAGAAATTAATATTTTGAGCCTGTGCCTGATGTTTCATGAAATTAAACCAATAATGAGATGTCAACATACATTTATGGCAACTAATTCAGAACAAATGTATATCATCTCACCAAAAACATGAATATTATTCTATACAGGTTCTTACACATGCTTTTCACCATAGTATCTGAGCATGTAAATGCAAAAGAGAGTATTTTTTAATTAAAATCTCCTGTGACTAGTTAAAAAAATCAGAGTACGTAGATGAAGAGAGTTCAGATTCTTCCAATTATAAGCTTAGAAATACATTTGTTGGAATAAAATTTTGTCTAACTGCACTTTTAAATGTTTCGTTTTTCTACTTCCTGTTGGTGATATTGAGCTATGGGACATATAGTGTCTTTTTTTTAAAAGCTGAAAAGTCAGACTGTTAAATTGATAACTGCATACCGGTGAAACCTCAAGGTGTTGTGTGGACTGCAATCTATGTGGCATTATTGTAGTGCATCTCCAATCTATTAACTTACGTAGGGCCAAATCACACAGGGTGGGTATTGGCAGCAGTTAGAGTAAAAAGACTGAATTTGGCCCCAAAACATCAGTGGGAGTTTTACTCGACTGAAGATTGCAAATATAAGGACTGCAAGATTTGCCTGATAATCAGCAATGCATATTAAATATTTAACAAGTTTTAATTGGGCAAAATACAGAACATACAAGCCGACTAAGTGTAAGGTGCATAGCTGTCTGATATCCTATTCTGACTCATGAAGATTCAGATTAGCAACGAATGTAAATTTATTTTAGTTTCCAAAGACTTTGGAATTATCCCTGAGAATGTTAGGGAACACTAGGATAGGTGGAATAGCCAGCAAATGGTTCAGTTTGCAGATTGTTGCATAGGTGGTTGCTGTTCTCTTTCTTTCTCTCTCTCTCTCTTTTTCATGGAGGCTTTTATGGGTGAGATTTTCAAAGCCACTTAACAGAATGAATTGACCAATTCCTATTATTTTCTAATGGGAATTGGGTGTCCAGGTCCATTAGACAACATGGAAAATCCAGCCCTACATTTCTTCGGTCTTTATTTTGTGCAGTATGAAATAAATGTCAGCTAGGCTGAAAAATGGTTTGTTCTAACACATGGGGAAAATAATGGCTATTCACACCGTGCTTAGAACATACAAACAACCTCCTTTTCATGCCAGTGGTATCAGATCACAATAGCTGGAGTAAAATGACAAAATAACACTGGTATAAAATGTTCTCTTACCACAAATAATTATGTCAGTCTACAATATTTTTTTTTTAAAAAGGAAGGAAAAAAACTGGCTCAATTCAACAAATCAGTAGGTTTCTGTAATACTTTTCTCTACAGGCTAGAAGAAAATATAGAAAGGAGGAACTCTCTGGTTCAGTTAGCAACTTGAAAGTCTTCCTGCATAATAACACCCTTCTGAGAGCCTCTTATCTGATCCCATTGCTATTTAGACAGAGTAGAACAATGTGGGGTTTTTTCTTGTCTCAGTTGCAAAATCATGCAGGTGGAAAACAAAACATACACATGACAAAAATGCTGCTTGTAGTAACCATAAAGATAAAAAAGATATGAGCGGCAAAGGGACTGTTCTTTAATTATTCTCTTTCTCTGATATGTAAAATGAAATATTTATATTCTGGACACTGTGCATAAGGAAGATTTCTGTAAACTTGTATTGGTTGAAAAAATGAGGAGTTTGAGAATTGCCACAAAGTACTTCAAAGCCATTGTGATTAAACATGTTGTATTGTTGAATTTGGAGACTTTCAAATGCAGTCCATCATCCCAGCGGTTTGAATTAAAAAGTAAACAGCCCCATTAATCTTTTCCTGCCAGATTTACTTAGGGGGCTATTAAATGTAAAGACACTACTTTCAAAGAGCAAAACTGGTTAGCCCAATGGTTCTCAACCTATTTACCGTTGTGGGCCACATATGCAGCTCTCTCTGTGTTATGTGGACTGCATCCACACAATATATATACTACCTGTATGGCCCTGAGGATGTCACATGGGCTGCAGCTGTGTGCCAATCGGGCCACGGGTTGAGAACCACTGGTTTAGCCTGTTCACACTTCTCCTACATCACTAAGGTATCTACCCTCTGCTTTCATCAGTATCTTCAAATTGGGTCTTTTCCTGTATCGATCCTGTGATATAACAGCTAATACAGGGACCTGCCTGCCAGCTTTCAGCTTGTATGCAGTGTTCTTGTGGCCTTGTTGGTCCCAGGATATTAGATAGACAAGGTGGGTGAGGTAATATCTTTCACTGGACCAAATTAGGTTGGTGAGAGAGAGCAGCTTACGCAGCTCTTCTTTAGGTCTCAGGTTTGCTGTTAATTCTATATATGGTACTAGTCTGGCCTCCATCGCTGTTGTATCTGTGCACCTCACAGCACCCCTGGAGATACAACAGTGCTATCACCCTCATTTTAAAGATGGGAAATTGAAACACAAAGAGACTTGCCTAGGGTCACACTGGATGTTTGTGGCAGAAATGGAAATGAACCTGGGCCTCCCACAACCCAGCCTAGCGCTCTAACCAATGTTTTCTATATATGCCACAATAGATGGCCATTGATTATTATTCATTATCATTATGGTGGAGCAGTAGCAACGCCATAGTTAAGACTGCGGCAGTGTTTTCATATTGATAGGAGTGTATCATTTCTAGGGTGCTTTAAGCATACCCAGAGTTTTACAAAACACTCCCTGCTCCTCAGACACAGGATGATAGTTGAAATGCAAGAAAACCCAGAGCCGCCATCACAAAAGAAGATGGTTTGACGCAGAAGAGAGGAAGCAGTTGACTCTTGGGTAATGGGAGGTTGAGCCAGGCATAAGAGGCAGTAAGAAGATGTGAAGCAGAGTGGGAACAGGAGACAAAAGGGAGCAGTTAGAGAGGAGGACAGAGAACAAGAGGGACAGGGATGTTGAACACCAAATCAAGAAACACTCGATTGGCAGCCTATTTAATTAACTCTTAGGCCTGGTCTACACTTAAAATTAGATCAACTTAAGTACGTCACTCCCAGGTATGAAAAATTCACATTTCTGAGCACCGTAGTTAAGCTGACCTAGCACCTAGTGTAGACATGGCTAGGTCAACAGTAGAATTCTTCCATCTACCTAGCTACCACCGCGCAGAGAAGTGGATTGCCTACATTGAAGGAAAAACCCGTTCTGTCAACAAAGAAAACATCTACGCTACGGTGCTATAGTCGCACAGTGGCAACGCCATAGTTGTGCCACTGTAGCACTGGTAGTGTAGACATGCCTTTAAATCAAAACCCCATATATGACCCTCACTCACTGGGGAAGTCCCTCAGATCCTACAGTGATGGGGGCCATATAAGCAGGGGGATTAGAACAGAAATGTGGCTCTGGCCCCTGATCATTTCCCTCTCTATGATGGGCCATCGCAAAACCTGGGATCAAACTACCCCCAAATGTGGATCTAAATCTAAATCACCTAAATGTGAAATCTAAATTCCAGACATTCAGGATTTGTGGTGTGACTCACCTTTAGTCAATGCTGTAAATGATTATTGTAAAGGAATTTTTTGTTTCATAGGAATGTAAGCTCTTGGAGACACTTTGTCCCCAGTGGATTATTCCCACATCTGATAAATTAAGGAAAAAATTAGAGTGCATTAAAATGTGGTCCTTACTCTGACAGCTGGGAAATATGAGCAGTGACCATGGTATGCAAGATGAGTTGCAGCCCCAACTCAGAATATTTGCTCCTCCTCTAGCTACCTGATTTGCATCCACATCTAGCTATTCAAAGGCACTATTTAAATGCACATGCAAAATTACAGCACACAGGGAAATCACCCCTATTCTGTGCATTGTTCTTGGTCTTCCTTTTAACTCCTAGATAAACAGCGCCAAATTCACCAAAGGTGGGGACACCTTTCAGAACAACTGAGTTGCACTCACTTATGCTAACAAAGAGATTGGCCCATTATTTTTGCAAATCTATCTTTTGCAACACATGTAAAGCATTTGTGTGAACATTGTACAAATGATACATGCTGAATTTCAAAGGCCAGGGGAGATGTTAGAGTTTCTCAGAAAAAGTCACAAGAATATTTTTATATATATATATAATTCACCAATCATTATTTGGAGCCAAATCCTTAGCTGGTGTAAATTGCTATAGACTCATTGAATTCAATGAATTTACACCAGTTAAGGATCACATAGTTTCATTGACTCTGATGAAGCTATATCAGTTTACACCTGCTGAGGATCTGATCCTCTGTAATCTTCTTCAGGTTTGTCTAGTCCAATGCATGTCTTAGGGTACGTCTACACTTACATCCGGGTCCGGATGTAAGCAATCGATGTTCTGAGTTTGATTTATCACGTCTGGTTAAGACGCGATAAATCGATCCCGGATCGATCCCGGAAGTGCCCCGGATCGATCCCGGAAGTGCTCGCTGTCGATGCTGGTACTCCAGCTCGGCGAGCGGAGTACGCAGCATCGACGGGGGAGCCTTCCTGCCGCGTCTGGACCGCGGTAAGTTCGGACTAAGGTACTTCGAATTCAGCTACGTTATTAACGTAGCTGAATTTGCGTACCTTAGTCCGAAGTGGGGGGGTTAGTGTAGACCAGGCCTTAGTCTTTAAATAAGAAAGGAAATGAGTATGAATATGGAAAGTCCTTCTGGATCAATATTGAAACAAGTGACTGAGCAGTGAGTGAACTTGGAAAACCGTATGGTTGAACGTGTCCACGCTATTATTGGACTGTGGGTAAATAAAGAAGACGTGTCTCTGGTGATCATAATCTTTCATCTTCCTTTCAATTGTCCTGGTACATGAACTTGCTAAGACCACTGCATCTGCTTGCTTGAAATAGCAAAGTTAATAAGTGTGAAAATGTTCTCTGAGATCAGGTCAGATATAGAACATGTTAATGTTCCAGAACTACATTTGTGACATTTAAAAATTAGACATCCACTTTAATATCTGCAGTGGGATGAGATGGTAAATTCAGAGATTCATAATGTATATATGACCAACTTCCCATTTATATGTCTTTTATATAAGTAATTGCATAGCATTTGGGCAATGTTTTCTCATTCATTTTTTCCATGGAAAATGTAGTAGTAATAGCCTTTTTGACATATATGAACAATCTGTAGAGCTGCTCCATACACTGAAGTAGAAAAGTAAGTATTGTGTGACCAGTAAATCACTGGGCTCTTTGACAAAGAGAAAAGATACTTTCTCAAAAATCATTTAAGACAATAAGAGGTTGTTTTTCTGTGCCTGGAACAGAAGCAACTGGCAGAGAATGGAAAGTGTCTATACAGACCTCCCCTGGGAATGAAGCTAACTGATCTCCAAGGACAAGTGGGATTTTTGTATGGAAGCACATTTGCATTATATCTGTTGAAAGTTGTGGCAGAAATAGTACTGGCTTCTCTTGTCTCAAGAAATAAGAATGCACCACATTCTGAAAGGCTAATGTGCAATGGTTTTGTTATGAGACAAATCTTCGGCTATTTTTTTGTTTGGCCTCAGTATCCTACTGTCTCTCCCTGAAAAGCTCAAGCATTAGTGATTCTTTAATACTTCTAGTAAATCTGGAGTTATACTTAAATTTAGTATGAATTAAATAGCAAGCAGGTGGCTGATGCCTTGCAGGTGTAATTATAATCTTGTGGAAGGACTCATATGATAAACACTAGAAAAAAGGGAAATTTAAAATGAAACATGGAAATAATTTTGTCTTGGGTAGGGCTACATATGGGAGGACAAGGTGTAAGAATGGCATTTTAACCCTGAAAGGAGCCCTATAGAGATGTTAATCATTCAAGGGTGTATTGTAGCTGGCACCAGTGCACACAGAGGGAGTAAAGAGAATTAAGAAATCCCAATCCTGTGTGGTTGCATTAGGGCTATCCCAGTCCTTGTCTGGATCTTCAGCACAGCAAAGCCCATGCACAGCCAGTGCTCTTGTGAGCAAGTGGCTGGAAAGGAACAGGGAGTGTATTGAGCAAGTGTTCTGCCACCTCTCCCCAGAAGCACTGGACAGGAGAACAGGGGCATATGCTACATCTTGTAAAGGGCTGATACAGCATACTCCCCTCCCCAGGGGAAAAGAGGCACTGTGTCTCAGAGGTGGATCTCTGAGTCCCAGCTCTACCCTAGGCTCCTCCCGAACAGTGGAACTAATGCACCATCCCCTACACAGGGCTGTGTCTAGAGCACATTCTAGCCACCATCCCATGCTCAGGGCAGCCTTACAACAAGGAAAATGTACATTCTCATAAAATGTTCAGATAGTAACATAACGAGGAGTCTGGTGGCACCTTAAAGACTAACAGATTTATTTGGGCATAAGTTTTCGTGGGTAAAAAACCCACTTCATCAGATGCATGGAGTGCCTGCTCATTCTCTCTAAACAAACTCCCAATCCCAGATAAAACTCCCTCAACCCATCAGGGATTTGGCAAGACATCTCGGGAGAGATTTTGAAAGGCACAAATGGATTTCAGTGGAAGTTAGGCTCCTAAATACCATTTGTGCCTTCCGATCCCCCCTTCCTCCTTATGCTTAAATAACTTTGTTTGCTGAAGTTACATTTTTCAGCCCTTTGTTTGCATAGTGAAGATCTTTTTAGTTCTGCTTTAATGTGTGAAGTTCAACTTTATAGATAAGTAGTGCCGAGGGAATAATTCATAGTGAATAATTTACTCCACAAATGTAGACTTTCTCTGCTTGCAGAACATCCGTGAACAGATGATGATTTGCTTGGAAAATGAGGATGATAACACTTAAATAATTCACAGGTGTGTCGTGAGGCTAAATGCATTAATATTTGTAAAGTGCTTTGAGATCCTTGGATACAAAGTGCTGTCTACGTGCCAGGTATTACTACCACTAAGGGAGATGGAGGCTGCTAGGCTTGAGGCAGCAATGAGATCAAGAATCTGTTTGAAAGAAATAAAACATAAAAAGCTTCTGCGAGAGATAAGAATGGGAGGCCACATTTAGAAGTCCAGAATGTATATTTTCACTTTAAAATGGCACTACTTTTAATCAAAAAGGAGAAAATCTTACAGGTGGTCCAGAAATCAGGACCACTGGCTGGAATTTGAACCAATGCAAATGTTTTCAGTTAAAACTATATATATATATGTATATATATACACCTCAACCACGATATAACGTGACCCGATATAACACGAATTCGGATATAACACGGTCAAGCAGCACTCCAGGGGGGCGAGGCTGCGCACTCCGGTGGATCAAAGCAAGTTCAATATAACGCGATTTCACCTATATCGCGGTAAGATTTTTTTGGCTCCCGAGGACAGCGTTATATCGGGGTAGAGGTGTATATATATATATATATACACACACTCTCTCTTTCTCTCTCTCTCTCTCTCTCTCTCCCAATGGGCAACAAATGAACTGAAGTCAACAACACTAGGTGCAAAAATATATATGGAAATGGAGTTAAAATGGGAGCTTGGGTCAAACAAACCACAGTTGGAGTATTGGTTTTGCAAATTGAGAACCTGATCCAGGACATTTTGTAAAACCAGAACCATTCCAGGTGGCTCCATCTGTAATTTATGCCATATTAAGGCATTTAATGTAAACAAGAAACAGGCCAACTACAGTGTATCTTCCTGCTTGATCCTGTAAAGACTCGGATTTACTAAGGATACCTTTTTCTTTATTCAGGTGTTTTCCTTCCACGGTGCAATGAAGAAGGATATTACAAAGCAACTCAGTGTCATGGAAGTACAGGGCAATGCTGGTGTGTTGATAAGTATGGAAATGAGATCGCCGGCTCAAGAAAACAAGGGACCGTTAGTTGTGGTGAGTAATGACCTGCTTCCCTAAGACAACACAAAAATTAACATCGTTGTAAGCCCTGAAATTGCTGTAAGATCAGCCATGATAACAAAAAGCGACAACATAGGAAACATAATTAGCAGAGTCCCAAATGTTCCCATGTATTCCAGTTCACAATATAAAAGTGTCTGTGTGCTCATACACGTACCTTTGTCTTGGAGCGTGTGTACAAGAGTATGAAATTGGCAATAACCACTGATAAGAAAATGTTTTTGCTACCAGCTTGGCAAATGCAGTAGTTGCTATTAAAATAAAAGATATGCGGTTGTTATGCCTGGTTATTAAATATATTGTTCCTTATACAGTAGAACCCACATTTACAGGGGCTTCATAAATCAGGGCTTCCCTAAGAAGGGAAGGTTTAACTATACAAAATTTTATAAATTAACAAGCAGGCCCTTTAAAAGTGCTGATACTACAGTATTATTACACTGACATGTAAAATTACTGCACAGCTCTATATAATCAGGCAAACAAGATTTAAGTGGAATTCTTCAATGTGACTCAATGTAATGATAGCTTCAGTTGCTCTACTTCCAGCAAGAATAGAGAAGGCAAAGCTTTAGAAGCTCTAAAATGTACATGATTACATCCTAAGTTGCTATATCAGGGTCAGCGGGTGCTTTTGCAGGAGTGTATGTGCATGAATGTACATAAAATCAAGCAATTGCAACATATACCTAGCCTGTGAGAACCATTTGCACGTGTGGTTACCAAAGATGGGCACGCAGATTCCTGTGTGCCAGCCTCTGTCCTCACCCCAGCCAGATGCCAGGGCCGCCCAGAGGATTCAGGGGCCCTGGGGCAAAGCAATTTAGGGGGCCCCTTCCATAAAAAAAAAGTTGCAATACTATAGAATACTATATTCTCGTGGGGGCCTGGGGCAAATTGCCCCACTAGCCGCCCCCCCCCCCCGAGCGGCCCTGAGATATGCATCCAAAATAGTCAGGTAGCATATCTGTGCATGAGAAAGTGGATCAGTCTAATATCCCAGCTTCCTGGTGGTCCGATCCCAACCCACATACAGACAGCAATAGCACAGCCCCATCCCCACCAAGGTGCCTGTGTGAATCAGTTGCACTGAGAGGGTGTTTCAGTGTCCGTGCACATTCAGTTCTTTGGTACTCTGCTGAGATTAGCCACCGAGGAAGCAGTTAGTGTTGATTGTGACAGGGATTTTCTGAGGTCGACTAGAGCTGACTGGCCATTTTTGACCTGACATTTTTTATGGAAAATTGCTGATTCGTCGACACCAAAACTTTTGGCAGGAAAGGGTCAGTTTTGCTGACTTTCTTGACTCATGTTTTTTTTTGTGGGGGGGGGGGGTGGTTGTGATATTTTTTTTTTTTTTTTTTTTTTTTTTTGGGGGTGGGTTTTGTTTAAACAAGTATTGCAATTGTCAATGTTCTGCCTCAGTATTTTCTAAATGAAAAATTCTGGTTTTCTGATTAAAAGCAACTTTTTGTTAAAAAAAAAAAAAAGCTAATTGGGATTAAAAAAAATAGGTTTAATGGTCAAAATTGAAACATAGTGTTTTGAAAGTATTGAAACAGAATGCTTCAACTGAACCAAACCAAATGTTGGGGGGAATTTTCAGTTTGTGAAAATTTTCAAGGTTTTGATATTTTGTCGTGAATCAGGACAAACGGGTTGGGTTGGTTTTTGTTTTTTTCCTTGAAATCTTGACAATTTTCATGGGTTGGGGAAATTGTTTTCCATCCAGTTCTAATGTAGACATTTGACTTTCAGGAATTGATCCGAGACCACCAACTCATTTCATGTAGACCACCAATCATCAGATGGTAATGATTTTCAGTCACCATTGAGCCTGGATGGATTTAAATTAGAAATCTAGAGATGCAAGGCCTTTGTATCTTATTCTAGATCCCACTGGACTATTACTTCCTCTCAAATTTGTGGTCATGGGCACAACAGATGTATGTACATTTTTAAGGGGACCTGCTGTGCTGTCCTTTGCTAAATTGCCTCTTTAAAAAAATCAATTTACGGCAAAAAAAATAAAATAAAGTAGCTTACATAGTCAGAACATTAACAAGCATTGACTAAAGAGATTTTTGGGTTGTTGGGTAAGAGAATGACCTTTAACTCTTACCTATTTTAGAAGAAGAGCAAGAAACCTCGGGGGATTTTGGCAGTGGTGGATCTGTTGTATTACTGGATGATTTGGAACAGGACCGTGAAGCAGCGAAAAAGGACAAAGAAGGGAAAATGAAGATTCATGTAAGAGCGGCTAATGAGGATGATGAAGATGAAGATGATGATAAGGATGATGAAATTGGTTATATATGGTAGTTGTCACCGTTCTGAGGACTCATGTTTTGCACAATATTGCAAGTCACTTCATATCTCTGCAATTGTATCTAAGAACATCAGGCACAAAATATCTCTCCTCTCTGTTTAATTTTTACAGTATATATCATTTTCAAGATGGCTTTTTTCCAACTAGCTACTGGTTTGAATACAGTTAATTTTTTTTCCTCTATCAACAGGGCTAT